GGGGTCTTTAAGACAAGGCTTGACAATCACCTTGCTGGGGTCGTTTGACTCCAGTATTCTTTCCTGCCATGGCAGGGGGTCGGACTTGACGATCTGCTCAGGTCCCTTCTGACCCTACCAACTATGAAACTATATATTTTAAAAAGACAAACTGTAATGCTACAGCAACAACTTAAAGAACCTGATGACTGGATGGAGTTAGACATATGTCCAAATCTACAGTGCTTCTATACTGGTTATTCTTTCCTTAGAGCGGAACTGTTCCTTTAGCCTACTGTGTAGAATCGGCTGTTATTTCTGAGCCAGAGTTTAATGGTAAACTGCAGTTCATTTTTGCCGTTAGTTTGTGTTCTGCTGAAATCTTTGGCAATTACTCCTTGGCATTTGAGTTCTTTCTCTCTCTTTTTAAGGGCTGGTGATGATTCTGTGATGATGTCTGTTGGGTGACATTTATAAACACGTCATCTGCTTTGACAGGTACAATGAGCTGCAAGGATTTTCCAAGGAGACACTTCTGGCAGTGTAAAATGTTTGTCATGCACTAATAACATTGGATTTCATGTGTGTCAGGAGTTCCCTACTTCATGGGAATTGGTAGGTCACAGGTGTCTGTTGTCCAATATCACTTCCTACTGTACTGCTGATGGTCTAAGTTCCCTGTTCAGTTCCAGTCTATTATTATGTTTAAGCCTCAACTAGTGGGCATCCATTAGAAGATGCAAACCATCTGGAGGTAGGGGGGCTCAGTTCCTTGTGTTCCACTGAGTTCCATCACAGGGTCCTAAGATTAAGTTTTGATAGATCTCATTGTTTTAAAACACCAGAACTTCTTCCTATTTCATGTCTGTGCAACTATTACCATCTCCCAGACTAGCTCACTGACCATGCTTTTGGGGCTCCTCACAATGGAGCTGTCTCACAGACCTAAAACTTCCCTATCCAGTCATTAAGCTCTGCACAATCCAAGAACTCTCTTCTAGTCACAGAAATCTTCACAGCCTTAAAGATCCCTTCAGACTGTGTGCAGCTTCCTTTTTATCATAGAAACTTGGGTTTCAAATGGACCTCAGGAGGTCATCTAGTCCAACCCCCTGCTCAAAACCCCCAACTACATCAGCCCCCTCCAAGGTTTTGTCTAGCCCATTCTCCAAGGATGGAGAGTCCATAACCTCTCTGAGTGACCTGTTCCGCTGCTTTTACTACCCTCTTGGTAAGAAAATTTTTCCTAAACTTCCCTTGCTGCAACTTGAGATTCATTGATTCTTGTTCTATCTCCTGTCACCACTGAGAAGAATCTAGCTCCATCCTCTCTGGAGCTACCCTTTAGATAGCTGAAGGCTTCTATTAAATGCCCCTTCAGTCTTCTCTTCTCCAGGCTAAATAAGCTCAGTTCCCTCAGCATCTCCTCATAAGTCATGTCCTCCAGCCCCCTAACCATTTTCGTTGCCCTCTGCTGGACTCTCTTCAATTTGTCCACATCCTTTCTGTAGTAGGGGGCCCAAAACTGGACACAGTACTCCAGATGTGGCCTTACCAGTGCTGAATAGAGGGGAAGAATCACTTCCCTGTATCTGCTGGCAAGGCTACTACTAATGCAGCTCAGTATGCTGCTAGCCTTCTTCGCAACAAGGGTGCTGCACTGCTGGCTCATATTCAGTTTATTGTCCGCTGTAACCCCCAGGTCGTTTTCTGCAGAGATGCTGCTTAGTCAGTCCCCAACCTGTATTGGTGCATGGGATTGTTCCATCCTAAGTGTAGGACTTTGCACTTCTCCTTATTGAACCTCATGAGATTTCTTTTGGTCCCTTCCTCCTATTTTTCTATGTCTTTCTGAATCCTAGCCCTACACTCTAGTCTGTCTGCTACTTGCCCCAGGTTGGGGTCATCTGCAGACTTGCTGAGGGTGCACTCCATCCCGTCTTCTAGGTTGTTGATGAAGATATTGAACAAAACTGGCCCCAGGACTGACCCCTGGGGCACTCCATTTGATATCCTTCTGTTGCATGTTGTACTTCTGCCTCCTGATTGGTGAGCCAGGAGGCATAGGGTTCCATGGGGTCTAGGTCCACTGGTGCACCCAATTAACTTTTTCCCTGTTGATTTGTAGGAATGAACTAGGATTCAGAACGTCCTGGTTAAAATTCCAATCTCTGCCATAGACTTTTTATGTGATTACAGACGGGTCACTTACTTTTTCTGTCTCTCTTTTTTCCACTGGCAAGATAAGTTTAATAATGCAACTTTTTTTTCCCCTGGCTTTTGTCTGTTGTTTCTTTTTGGGTGATAAGTTCTTAACACAGAGGGTCTTTTGTTATGTGCATGTGCAGCACCAAGCACCATGGGGCTCCGGTGTTATTGGAGCCTCTAAATCATACTATAAAATAAGAAAACAAGTTAATAACAGACAGCCAACTTTCCTTACTATATCCTTTGTTTTCACAGTTCATATATTAACTGTCCATCTTGTAGGATCTTATATTTGTGCAGCAATGATTTTAAACCAATAACTGTTAATAATTCCTATAAAAATTGTATTTTTTTTCTTCATGGAATTCGGAGAAAACATTGTCTCTCTTAAATAAGTCGGAAAAAAGCAATCAACTGGGAAAATGCATTTTACTTTTCACTGATGTCAACAGGAGTTGAATGTATGCAGAAGCTCCTGAATCAGGTCTAACAAGAAAGTGTGTTTTAAAACTTATTCTGCTGAACAATAAACTAAGTGGAATATTTAGTATCACTTAAAGACTGTTCTAATCACTGTAATTTTAATTGACTGTTGGATGGACTGGATATAACAAGTCACAAAATCATATATGCTTTCAAGCAGTAAGAGTTTAGATACTTTCACAGCATGAACATTGGAGCCAGGGCATATAGACACACTTTTGGGTGTGGAAATGGAGAAGTAGACTAGCCATTCACCATCCTTAATTTGGGGGGATGACCCCACCTCCAGTGTGAGCCTGAGTGCTATAATGCAATTTCACAGAGCTCATGACCCGCTACTTGTAAATGCCACAACTTGATTTGGGGTCACAAACCCTAGTTTGGGAACTGCTGGTGTAGAGCAGTACTTTTTATTTTTGAATGAAGGATGAGATCAAGGAGCATGATTGAGAGTATTTCTGTTTGTGTCTCTCCCCCAGCCCTCACATAGGCAACACAGCCCTGCTGAATGACAACAGAAAATGAAAGGGAAAGAGGAACTATGTAGGTGAGTTCAGAATTCATTTGTTGATAAGGTTTATTTTTGCCTAACACTAGAGAGTGTTATTGGCAGGGATCAATACGACTTGGAACCTGAAGCATCTGTGAAATAAGTGCTCTGGGATTCTGCTGGGATGAGTCTGTGTTTTAGAGTTAGCCTTTTTTTTCATTAAAATTTCCCACTCGTGCTAATAAAGGGAGTGCTGATGGTAAAGGGTGTGTCTATGGGAGGTATATATGCAGTATATGTAGGCAGTACCAATAGGGAATAGTGGAATGGACTTCCTGCACATATGGTCCCAGGTAGACAAGCTTGTACATGCTGGACACATCTACACGAGATGCTGTGTCTCTGTAGCTCATCACTACGGTGACATAGTGTTGGTGGGCACTAACCATGATTCTGCTGCTACTGTGCACTAGGGTCAGAAATGACCCATGCACTGTCAGGACTGTGCAGTACCAGTGGGTGCTGTGCAATCATTTAGTACTTGCTAAAGCAAGTATTAAATGACTTCGCACTACCAACTGCACAGTGGGGCACATGTGTAGATGCGCCCACTGTGCAAAACCCATTCACCACAATTTCACTTCTATTAATGCTCCTGCAGGGAGCAAACCAGAAAAGCCAAGGCTGCAACTGAACTCCAACTAGCTTCGAGCATCAAGGACAATAAAAAGTCCTTTTTCAGATATGTGGGGAGCCGGAGGAAAAGCAAGGGTAACATTGGACCCCTGCTAAACCAGATGGGACAACTGACAACTGACACCCAGGAAAAAGCTAACTTATTAAATGGGTACTTTGCGTCGGTCTTTCGTCAGTCCCATGGGACGCCCATGCCCACTATGGGACAGGGAGGTCTGGGTGAGGGAGATCCCCTGCCCTCCATCAATGCTGACCTCGTGAAGGAACACCTTGAGAGGCTGGATACCTTCAAGTCAACTGGCCCTGACAATCTACACCCCAGGGGACTCAAGGAGCTGGCAAGTATCATAGCCTAGCCTCTGACATGGATCTTTGAAAACTCCTGGCGCTTTGGTGTGGTGCCCAAAGACTGAAAGAAGGTCAATGTGGTACCTATCTTCAAGAAAGGGAGGAAAGTGTATCCAGCAAACTATAGGCCCATCAGCCTGACCTCTATCCTGGGGAAGGTCTTAGAAAAGTTTATTAAAGAGGCCATCCTTAATGGACTGGCTGACGCCAACATCCTGAGGGATAGACAGCACAGGTTTGTTGCGGGTAGGTCTTGCTTGACCAATCTCATTTCCTTTTACAATCAGGTGATCTATCACCTGGACAAAGGAAAAGAGATTGATGTCATATATCTTGACTTCAAAAAAGCCTTTGATCTAGTATCCCATGATCACCTCTTGG